TTCTGGAGAAGAAGTCGAAAATGTGAAAAGTTTACAGACGGACTACAGACAAAATGTGATCAGAAAAGCTCATTTGAGCCTTCGGCTCAGGTGAGCTATTAAAAACTTTAACCTTGGCCATAACTTTTGAACAGATAGCATTCGGGCTTTCAAATTTCACAGGAATATTCCTTTCGAAGCTGCAACTGACCTAAGTCGATGAAAAATAGGTAGCAACAGTTCCTTCGCCAAGCGCTCGGCACTTTGAAGTGAAAGTTACGGATCCTTCGGAAGAGACCTTAACAAGAGGCCCAGGGGCCACATCGCTCACCTGAGCACTATGGCTAGGAAAAAGCAGAAATCAGTCTTGAAAGGTTGAAAAGTTTAAATATAAAAGTGTTTCGGGGGAGGGGGGGGGTCATGAATTGAACAAATTTGAATCTACATTATCTGAGGATGCTTCCATTTAATATCACCAATCATGTCTTTGCTGTTCTTAAGAAATAGTTTTTTTTAAAAAGATTTTTACTATGTGTTCCTATGTAAAACTTTGATCGCCCATTGTGGCCCCACCCGACCCCCTGGGGTCATGATTTGAACAAATTTGAGTGTACACTATCTGAGGATGCTTTCATGTAAATATGAGCAATCATGGCTTTGCTGTTCTTGAGAAGAAGATTTTTTAAGATTTTTCCTATATATTCCTATGTAAAACTTTGATCGTCCATTGTGGCCTCACCCGAACCCTGGGGTCTTGATGTGAACAAATTTGAATGTACACTATTTGAGGATGTTTCCATGTAAATATGACCAATTATGGCTTTGCTGTTCTTGAGTAGAAGATTTTTAAAGATTTTTCCTATATATTCCTATGTAAAACTTTGATCGCCCAGTGTGGCCCCACCCGACCCCGGGGGTCATGATTTGAACAAACTTGAATCTACACTACCTGAGGATGCTTTCATGTAAATATTACCAATCATGGCTTTGCTGTTCTTGAGAAGAAGATTTTTAAAGATTTTCCCTATATATTCCTATGTAAAACTTTGATCGCCCATTGTGGCCCCACCCTACCCCAAGGGGTCATATTTTGAACAAACTTAAGTCTACACTATCTGACGGTGCTTCCACATAAGTTTCATATTTTCAAGCACAGTGGTTCTTGAGAAGAAGATTTTTTAATGATGCCATTAATTTTTCATGAATTCTTAATTATCTCCCCTTGGAAGAAGGCGTGGCCCTTCATTTGAACAAACTTGAATCCCCTTTACCCAAGGATACTTTGTGGCAAGTTTGGTTGAAATTGGCCCATTGGTTCTGGAGAAGTCGAAAATGTTTACAGACGGACAAACAGACAGACAGCTAGACAGACAGACGGACAGACGGACTACAGACAAAATGTGATCAGAAAAGCTCACTTGAGCCTTCGGCTCAGGTGAGCTAAAAACCGAGACCCCGTGTCACGGTAGGCGTTGGCACGATAAAGAACTCTCACTGCTCAATGGCCCTGAGTGCCGAGTAAAGGTCTAAATTTGAAGCCCTTCACCGGTATATGGTGACGTCTCTACATGAGTAAAAAATTCTCGAATGGGACGTAAAACAATATACAATCAATCAAAACTCTACTCCTCCTATAGTTTTGACCCTGGATTTCATTAATACTTGGAGCACAAGTAGACTATACTAAGATACATAATTCTGTTTATCGGTTTTGATTTCCTTTAACACTATTGCCGTGGTTAGTAAAACAGGAGGCCCATGGGCCACATTGCTCACCTGAGCAAATTGGCTAGGCAAAAGCACAAATCAGTTCAGTAAAGATTACCGGGGAGGGGGGGGGGCTTGAATTTTAAACTACCTTCCATGTCAATTTAACAAATGGCTTTGTTGTACTTGATAAGGTTTTAAAAAAAATTTCCCATATATTCCTTTGTAAAAATTTGATCCCCAATTGTGGCTCCTCCCTATCCCAGGGGTCATCATTTGAACAAACTTAAATCTACACTATCTGAGGATGCTTCCATATCACTATGACTAAACTCAGTTTTTATGTTCTTGAGAAGAAATATTTTTTGTTCTATATGTTCTTATGTAAAACTTTCGATCCCCCATTGGGCCCAACCCTACCCCCACAAAGATGGATCTAGGGCCAGCGCGCCGGGCGTGCACCCCCGTTTGAATTTTTTTATGTAGAACTTATATGTCCATTATCCTGAAATCAAGGAAAAACATCTCTTCTTTGTAAGAATTTGTCAGCTTCCCAGACCCCCACCAAGGCCTTGCTCTAGACCCACTGGGGGCTTCAATGCAGCCCCCAGACCCACTACCTCTACTCCCACCCCGTTACGAAATTCCTGGATTTACACTACCTGAGGATGCTTCCATATCGAAATAACTAAACATGATTTTCAGTTCTTGAGAAGAAGATATTTTCCTATATGTTCCTATGTAAAATTTTCAATCCCCCATTGGGCCCCACCCTACCCTAGGGGGTCATCATTTGAACAAAATTGAATTTACACTATACCTGAGGATGCTTCCACATCAAAAAGACAGAAGAAGATATTTTCCTATATATTTCTATTTAAGACTTTGATCCTCCATAGTGGCCCCACCCTACCCCCCGGGGGTCATGATTTGAACAAAATAGAATCTACACTACCTGAGGATGCTTCCACATAAATATGAATCATCATGGCTTTGTGTTCCTGAGAAAAAGATTTTTTTTAAAGATTTTTCCTTTACATTTCTAAGTAAAACTTTGATCCTCCATTGTGCCCCACCCTACTCCCGGGGGTCATGATTTGAACAAACTTGAATCTACACTACCTGAGGATGCTTCCATATAAATATGACTCATCATGGCTTTGGTGTTCCTGAGAAGAAGATTTTTAAAGATTTTTCCTATATATTTCTATGTAAAACTTTGATCCTCCATTGTGGCCCCGCCCTACTCCCGGGGGTCATGATTTGAAAAAACTTGAATCTACACTACCTGAGGATGCTTCCATATAAATATGACTCATCATGGCTTTGCTGTTCTTGAGAAGAAGATTTTTAAAGGTTTTTCCTATATATTTTTATGTAAAACTTTGATCCTCCATTGTGGCCCCGCCCTACCCCTGGGGGTCATGCTTTGAACAAACTTGAATCTACACTACCTGAGGATGCTTCCACACGAGTTTCATCTTTCCTGGCCCTGTGGTTCTTGAGAAGAAGATTTTTAAAAGATGCTATTAATTTTTCACCAATTCTCTATTATCTCCCTTTGAAAGAGGGCATGGCCCTTCATTTGAACAAACTTGAATCCCCTTCATCCATGGATGCTTTGTGGCAAGTTTGGTTGAAATTGGCCCAGTGGTTCTGGAGAAGAAGATGAAATTGTGAAAAGTTTACAACGCCGACGACGACAACGCCAACGACAGACAACGGACAAATTTTGATCAGAAAAGCTCACTTGAGCCTTCGGCTCAGGTGAGCTAAAAAGATACTTTTGTGAAATTCATTCAAACCACTACTTCTTTAGTTTTGGTTCGATTTCAATGATCTTGTGCACAATCAGCCTTTAATAATGTACATAATTCAGTGTTTATCAGTTTTTGATTTCCATGAATGATGTAGCAATAGTAACTAAAAATAGATTAAAAAATGCTAAACAAATGTCATTTTTCAATCCCTGTTTGCCCAAAATTCCTAAACCTTATTGTACGTCTGTTGGACACCACCACCACTCATCTTTCAAAAGATGATTAGGTTACTGCAGAAAATATAAGATGGGGAGCAGAGTCTTTTTTATATTAAAAATGTCATTTTCGACCCCCATTTGACCCCTAGGGTGAAAATGAAAATTCCGAAATCTTATTGCACATCTACAGGACACCACCAATCATCTTCCAAAAGAAAATTAGGCTATTGCATAAAATGTAAGAGGAATTCTGGGAACCAGGGTGTTTTTGTATTTAAAAAAACACATCATTTTCGACCCCCATTTGATCCAGATGGTGAAAATGACAATTCCGAAATCTTATTGCACATCTACTGGACACCACCAATCATCTTCCAAAAGATGATTAGGCTACTACATAAAATGTAGGCGGAGTTCTAGGAACCAGGGTGTTTTTATATAAAAAACGTCATTTTTCTATCCAATCTGACCCCTTGGGTGACAATGAAAATTCCGAAACCTTATTGCACATCTACAGGACACCACCAATCATCTTCCAAAAGATGATTAGGCTACTGCATAAAATGCAAGGGGAGTTCTGGGAACCAGGCATAGTGAAAAAACCATCATTTTCGACCCCCATTTCACCCACAGGATGAAAATGAAAATTCAAAAACCTTATTGCACATCTACAGGACACCTCCAATCATCTTCCAAAAGATTATTAGGCTACTGCGTTAAATATAAGAGGGGTTCTGAGGACCAGGTTTTTGTAGAAAAGGCGTCATTTTTTGGCCCCTGTTTTGCTCCTAGGATAATATTTACTGCACATCTACAGGACACCACCTATCACATGTGTATCATATTCCAAAAGATTAATTGGTTGCTGCTAAAAATAAAAGAGGAGTTTGAGGAAGAAGAAAGTGTGACAGACGGACGGACAGACCAGGGTAACAACAATATACCCGAACGTTCTTTAAAAAGTGCGGGTATAATTATTGAATAGGAATCACATGTTTTCGAAAAGGAATAACAACTTATAAAATAGGAATGATAAATCATCAAATAGAAATAACATTTTTTCGCATAAGAATAACAACTTATCACATTGGAATAATTTTTTATCGAATAGGAATAATATGTTTTAGAATAAGAATAACAAAAATTTTGAATAGGATTAATAACCCAAAAAGTACAATAATGCATCGTTTTACAGGCCATAGTACACAGTATTCTGCTAATATTTCAATTGTAGTTTATTTCATAATACTAGTATAATAATACTACAAAATCTGTTGTTTTTTCTTATTTTGAATTCAATCTTTCGAATGTTGATTGCTCATTATAGTAATGGGTTTCACTGTTGGTATTTTATTTTCTTCACTTGTCTGTTTCGATATTCAGCAACAAACAGATTGTCATTTGTATCTGTACACAGTCCCCAGGGATCACTCAGTCCAAAGTCTATATAACGGAGAAACTGTCCATCCTGGTCTATGATGTGGACACAGTCATTGTAATAATCAGCTGTAAGGATGTGACTCTGACTGTCTGTGGTGATTCCTCGTGGATTGAATGGTTGGTTCTTTGGAGCAGGAGTATGTCCTGTGTACCTGAATCTCAGTTTCCCGGCCTGATTGACCACTACTACTGCCCCAGCTCCAATGTCAACGACGCATATATCAAGGTTCCTGTTCTCAGTTAGGTATTTGCTATCGGGACCAGAGGAATAGAGAGGCTTTCCCATATCATCAAACTGAAAGACATTGGTTTGTTTCTCTGTGGAGTAAGAGTAACGGATAACTTTTGATTGATGGTAATCTTGACTGTCTATAATCATTAAAAGATCACCAGAGAATGTGCTACAGACACCACGAGGTATCAAGTCCCAGTCTAGTTTGATCACCTTCTCTATCTTCTCATTCTTCACAATGTGCAAGGTTTTATCCCTTTTATCAGTATAAACTAGATCACCTGTGTTTGTCACTGCTATGTTCTCTGGTCTTTTTCCTGACTTAGTTGAAACTGACGTAAGAAGTGATCCCTGATTGATGCTATAGAGTTTCATGGTTTTGTCATCTCCACTTGTCCAGATTTCCTTAACATTTAGACAGGCTACATTGTAAAGGTTTCCATTCCCAGTGTCTATGGTGGTGACAGTCTCTGGTTCATCAAGCAGCTGTTTGACTTGAGGAGAGGATCCATCTTCTGGTAATTTCTGTTTTGTCTTCATGCTGTAGCCATGTTTATCTAAAGTTAGAAATCTGATGATAAAGCTAAAAGAAAATTCCAGGCTCATCTTTTTTATTCTTCCTGGTGTGTGAATCTAGGTAAAGATGGAAATATTTGACATGGGAGTTCTCTGTATTTATTTACAATGGATATAATACTTAAAACGTTAGAAATGTCATTTGAGTCTACGTCATCATCAAATATTTTAATTTCATTCCTGATTTTCGAAGTGTTCAGTTTTGTTTCATGTAGTCGTCTCAATGTTTGTTATGGCCGCTGAAAGATCTTGTGACTGATTTTCAAAGTGATTCATTATGATACAATTTCTTGGTAGGTTGGACCAATTTGTTCATTCAGTTTCCATTTTTGGATGATACGGACACTTTTTTGTCCATATTTTGTACTATTTCCGAAAATTTGTGACCTTGATGTTTATCAGTTGCAATGCATTTAATACAGACAGGAATGTCACATTGAGCCCAGTGCATTTTACATTGTTCCATGATGCACTATTTATATAATGCTTATGATCTGAACAGATTTTTTTCTGAAAAACTAAATATTGATTCACAACTCAACTGCCACCTAGGGATAATAAATTTAAGCTCTAGACTTATTTATATACAGTGTTCGAATTTATACTAAAGTCAACATTTTCCATTGATGTAAAGATGAACTATTATTTGAATAGATCTAGTGTTTAAAATAAGTTTTTAAGACGAATCGAATTCACAGCAAAATAAAAGAAATTGAAAACCTAAAATATTACCTGTTTTCAACTTTAATGGTGCCTGTCCCATTTACCAAACGAAAGTATTACCCGTATCTATGCATTTAAAATTATATGGCACAAGTTTACCTGTATCTGATAGCTTTAAAATATATTTCTTGGTAAAATCGCATGCGTTTTATTATATTTAAATATCTAGCATTCATGGTTTCTGCTCATGCACTTAAAAGAATACTTCGTTATAAATGTAGCGCCGACCTATAGGGCCGAGACAGGTTTTAGTTTGTTTAAAAATCTTGTCGATTTCCGTTCCGGTAAATGATTCTAGGCTGGATACATACTTATTCGTATTCATTCGTTTCGCATACATTATTTTATTTCTAGTCAATGCATATAGCATGTATATGTAGAAATAAGAGGAAACTTTTTTATAGACATTACATGTAACTATATAGCTTATTGTGTTTTGTTATTTCGTAATATCATGTACTATTTTACATTGCTTATTATTATAATGATAATTTCTTCAGTTTTAATTCTCTTTTTGGTGTGTCTTTTTAAAACACACATTTCCGTGGATATGATAAAAACATGCCATTAATGTAGACAAATCACTGACTTCGAAAGTACATGTAAATGTAAAAATATTAAGCTCACAAAATAAAAGCAGAACGCATTCTTTTCTAGTTCAATAATGCAGACAAATACTAGTAGTACAGACTAGATAAAAGCAAAAACATTGTAAATGAATATAAATAAATTATACAAAAGAAATTCATCGCAGCTCATTGCAGACGAGACTACTTGTATTGTGTAACACATGTACAGAGTAAATAACTAAATTTCTTTTCGTTTTTTTTTAAGTAAAAAAATTTGGGTGTATCTCAAGTGATTTGAACCGTGGTCCATTAACTTTGAAAGAGCGTCCACTTGTTCCACTGGACCATTAACGCTTTGAAGTATTGAGTGATATTTAAAATCACTTGTGATGTTCGTGATATTAAGGGCACATTTTTGTTTATCGTTACGGTAGTAATTTGCAGGCATTTGTTTTAGGGTATTTAAATTTTGAAATTGGTTATTGTAATCACTCGAAAAAAGTTAGCCAACGACTTACAAGCTTTAATTTTAGATGTATTTTCAGATATTTGATTGAAGTTTGTTGAATATTGCCATTAAGTTTGAACCTATTTGAAAACTTTTCCCTGTCATGATTTTTATATACTGATATTGTTCTTCAGTAGTCGTTTCCCATCAGGAGATATTACGATATTGCCAGCAGTGGATGCCGAGCTTGCCCTCCCACGGATGCGATGGTCTTTGCACAACTTTGGCTTTAATAAAATGGCTAACTATGTCTTATCCTATATTCTGTGTTTCATCTTTATGTTAGAACAGTAAATGATTTATGTTCGGCTGAGCGAAGCAAAAGAGAACATAATTCTTGTCCTCTATGCTGAGACACTTAAGCATTTTTTTTTTTTATAAAGAATGAACATTGATTATCGTAAAAGATAGATAATTGAAGGAAAATATACAAAACCCTAGAAAAAATTAAAATAGTGTTTGAAGAGTCGAGAATATGATACTATAAGATTGTAGCAGCATGTGGATTCCAACCACGACACGATAATTTTTATATGTATATTAATTAAGCTGCAATCTTGACATAAACATAATATATAGAGAAAATTCAATGTTTTGTATTTGGATATGGAATTTATTTCATGAGTGGGACAAAATTTTTTTTCACGAGTGCGAAACACGAGTGAAAATTTAAAAACATCCTGTCCCACTCATGAAATAAATACCAGATCCAAGTACAAAGCATTGAATTTTCTGTTAAATACATTTTCTTTGATTTTCCCTTTGCCTCTGTCTTTTCTTAACACAGTGTCACAGGATGTGACGTCATAGTTGAGCGGGTGAGAGTCATAGTTAAGCAATTGCAAGATTGATTTTAACATTGTAACATGGATTTTAGCAACATATTTAAGAAGAAATTGGCAGTTTTAGTCTCTATCAAGACGATTTAGTTACTATCTCTATCTTATGATAGGCCAGAAATTTTTTTTACGTACTTTGATATCCTTTTATGGCATGTCAAACGTTGCAATATTCGATCTTTTCCATTTGTATTGTATAATTTTTATTTGTATTGTATAATTTTTCATTTGTATTGTATAATTTTTCATTTGTATTGTATAATTTTCAATTTGTATTCTATAATTTTTATTTGTATTCTATAATTTTCCATTTGGATTTTATAATTTTCCATTTGGATTGTATAATGTTTATTTGTATTCTATATTTTCCATTTGTGTTGTAAAAAAAATCATTTGTATTGTATAATTTTTCATTTGTATTCTATATTTTCCATTTGCATTGTATAATTTCTTATTTGTATTGTATAATTTCTTATTTGTATGCGATAATTTTTCATTTGTATTGTATCCGAGGATTGTTTATTTATTTCGTTACGAAGGATGTCATTGGTCATAAAATTTAGTCTGTATAAAGGTCTCAGGTGCCCATCACAAACTTAGTCTGGTACCCTTCCCACAATTCCGATCGCGCACTCTCTACAAACACAAACTCGGCTCCTCTATTTGCGGTGCATGCTAAGGGACGACCATTTGATTCTCGGGGGGTGTCGAATCCGATTATTTATTTTCATTCTCTCGCAGGAGAGAATATTTATTTCCAATATGACCAGAGACCAGGAGAAAAACAAAAAGAAGAAAATCCGCCCAAACCCGAAAACTCAGTTTTTTGGGGGTGGGGGTAGTTACCACCACTCAAGGTCAATTTATTTATTTTCTCAGTCAGCATTCCTAAGGACAGATTATTTATTTGCCATCTACCAGCGCTCCCTTTTTAGAATCCAATGACCGTCTAACATGCACGCAAATACATATGCCGCCGAAATATGGCTGAAATATTGCCGACTCGGCGTTAAACAATAATCAATCAATCAATCAAGCAAATACATATGAGCCCAGTTTGCTTTGAGCATCCGGAACATCTTCAACCCGATACAGGCTGAAACTTGACCAATGAAATCCTTCGTAACGAAACAAATAAACAGTCCGCGGATACAATACAAATGAAAAATTATCGCATACAAATAAGAAATTTTACAATACAAATAAGAAATTATACAATGCAAATGGAAAATTATACAATACAAATAAAAATTATACAATACAAATGAAAATTATACAATACAAATAGAAAATTATAGAATACAAATAAAAATTATACAATACAAATGAAAAATTATACAATACAAATAGAAAATTATACAATACAAATAAAAATTATACAATGCAAATGGAAAATTATACAATACAAATAAAAATTATACAATACAAATGAAAATTATACAATACAAATAGAAAATTATAGAATACAAATAAAAATTATACAATACAAATGAAAAATTATACAATACAAATAGAAAATTATACAATACAAATAAAAATTATACAATGCAAATGGAAAATTATACAATGCAAATGCAAAAGATCGAATATTGCAACGTTTGACATGCCATATCCTTTCACACTGTAAGAAAATATCACTTCGATATCCTTTCACACTGTGAGAGAATATCACTTTTATCCAATAAATAAATCACAGTATTTCACTGTTGAAAATGTAATGAAGTGTTTAAAAACCTAATTTATCCTCCTATCTTAATGTCGCTTCACTTCTTTACAAATTTTAAGACAAAATTTTAAGTTATATAAAACTTCAAACAATACAATTCTGTGCACATTGCATAAAATGGAACCTTGGAAATTCTAGAGGTGGGATCAGGTGCATAGGAGGAGTAAGCATCCCCTGTTGATCGGTCACACCCGCTATGAGCCCTATGTATTGATCAAATAGACGGAACATTCCGTAATCAAAAAAGTCTCTGTTAATTTGTTAGTGCCACTAAACTGAATTATATTACATATAACGTTAGGGAGGGGAAAATCCCTCACTGATTGTTCATTAAAGCTAGAGGAGAAAAGGACTCTAGAGTAGATTCCCCGACTCTATCATTCTAGAGTAGAATTTCCTGAGGCGGGAGAGGGGTAATCCTACTCTATCATACCGGTCTTGTTTAGTAGGCTTTTCCCTCTAAAATCTTTCCTTTCGGAAAACTGGCTATAGAATAGGATTTCCCCTCGATCAGAAAATAGGCTGAAGAGTAGGATTTACCACTGTAAAAATGGAGAGGGGAATCCTACTCTGGGGAAAAAATGGGGGATATAATTTGG